GTTCTAGAGCACAGGCTCAATAATTGTGGCTCATGGGTTTAGTGGCTCTGAAGCATGTGGGACCTTCCCAGATCAGGGATCGAACCTGTGTCTCCTCCATTGGCAGGCGGATTCTTTACCCCTGAGCCACCAAGGAAGGCCTGGGCCGGGTCTTAGCTGGGTTCTTTTTAGTTGTCATATGTGAACTCTTAGTTGCGGCATGTGGGATCTAGTTTAGTTCCCTGATCAGGGATTGAACCTAGGCTCCCTGAATTGGGAGCGTGGAGTCCCAGCCACTGGATCACCAAGGAAGTCCCAGATTCCCTCTTTAGAATTGTCTGGCTCCCATCTTGTTTTCCTAGCCAGACTTCTGATATTCTGTCTCCTTGTCCATAAAACGGAGGTTCATTCGATCATTTCACAAATAAGTATCTAGTAGATGCCTTAGCACAGAAAACTGTGCTAAGTGTTGGGAAGCTCACAGGAAACAAGGCAGGTTAAAAGACATGAAAATCTAGGCACTGCCTACCCCTCATGTCTCTGTACTGATCAGATGAGCTGTGTGCATAAATGTCACCTGCTGCCTGGGTCTCAGGAATTGCCAGCAACAGGCAAACACTACTTGGACTAGAGCCTGTTTTCTAAGTGTTCCGGGCCTGGGGCCTTTTCCTACTTCCTCCTCTCCCCCTCTAATCCTGACAGAGAAAGATTTGGGACAAATAAAATGAATCTTTAATCTACACCATGGGGAGTCAACTTAAGGGACTTATTATCCCAGTGGTGGTACGGTTTTAAGCTATAAATAGATCTTTCAAGAACAGGTTTCACTAAACCCATAGATGGCAATGAGAGAGAGAGAAGGCAGAGAGGTGCCCCGGGGCACTCACCTGCTGACCGCCTGCCCCTCCTGGGGCACCCAGCACAGTGGAAGGAACCCTGGACTGGGCTGGGAGTCAGGAGACCAGGCTTTGAACCCCAGCTCTACTGACCATCAAGTGCATGACCTTGGACGAGTCGTTTGACTGCTCCCAAGCCTGTGTCTTCCTCTGCAACCTGGCAAAGCTGAGAATACTGAGGATCTCTGGTTGTGGTGATTACAAGTTTAAAATGCAAAAGAAAAAAAAATAAATATATAAATAAAATGCATATGAAGCACTTGGTATTTGGTAAGTGCTCAGTAAACACTTGCTAATATGATTGTTACTTGCTGCAGGAAGTCTGGCCTAGAATCCCAGCTCTCTCCATTAGACCAGGAAACTTTCTGTGTGATTGATCCTGAGCAAGTTATTTGCTGTCTGGGCTTCAGTTTTTTCCTCTGTAAAACAGGAAAATAGTAACTACACTACCTGGCTCAGGAAAAGAGAGTTCAAGGATCATCTAAGAACCAGGTAGGGGATTCCCTGGTGGCCCGATGGTTAGGACTGCATGCTTCCACTGCAGGGTGCCTGGGTTAGATCCCAAAAGCTGTGCAGTGCTGCCAAAAAAAAAAAAGTACAGAGGTTAGAGCCAGACTGCCTGATTTTCAATCCCAGTTCCACCCTTACTTCTATTCCTGTATTGTCCTGTGCCTGTTTTCTCATATCTAAAATGGAAATAATGATGGCAACTACTTCATAGAGTAGTTGTGACGATAAATAAATATAGGTAAAGTGCTTAATACAATCACTGGCACTGAGTTTCTCAAGCATTATAAGTACTAGCCGTACTTCATCAGTTCAGTTCAGTTGCTCAGTCATGTCTGACTCTTTCACACTCCATGAACTGGAGCATGCCAGCCTCCCTGTCCTTCACCATCTCCTGGAGCTTGCTCAAACTCATGCTCATTGAGTCAGTGATGCCATCCAACCATCTCATCCTCTGTCATCCCCTTCTCCTCCTGCCTTCAGTCTTTCCCAGCATCAGGGTCTTTTCCAATGAGTCAGTTCTTCTCATCAGGTGACCAAAGTATTGGAGCTTCAGCTTCAGCATCCAGTCCTTCCAATGAATATTCAGGGTTGATTTCCTTTAGGATTGACCTCCCTGCAGTCCAAGGGACTCTCAAGAGTCATCTCCAACACCACAGTTCAAAAGCATCAATACTTTGGTGCTCAGCCTTCTTTATGGTCCAACTCTCACATCCATACATGGCTACTGGGAAAACCATTGCTTTGACTATACAGACCTTTGTTGGCAAAGTAATGTCTCTGCTCTTTAAAATGCTGTCTAGGTTTGTCATAGCTTTGTCATACCTCACATGGTACCTAAATTGCTTGGGGCTTTGGAATCAGAGAGACCTGCACCTATATGCCAGATCTATCCTCTAGGCTGTATGACCTCGGACAAGTCACTTTCCCTCTCAGAGCTTCAGCTTCCTCCTCTCTACAATGGAACACTAGAACAAGCCCAGCTTCTTTAAGGTACCGTGATGCAGCAAAGCAGACGCACACTGCCTGTCTTGAGTTAGATGCACATGCAAAGTGCTTTCCCTCTTCTTTTCCTCTTGGCTCCTCTCCTCAGCATTTTTCTCAATGGTCTACTTGAATGTCCTGACCCAGAACCCCATCACTGCTCCTAGAAATCGTCCCATCAAAGCTGAGGCCATAACTACACACTGCATGTTCTGGTGCGAAGAACTCTCGATTAGTAGGCAGAACACCAGGTTGGCTTCTTTGTCTTTGCAATGGAAGAATTCTGATATGTTGTTTCAAGGAGTCTGTTAGGAAAATTAAAGTGGAGGAAGTCTTGTTCAGGCTTCAGAAGTTAAGAGAGCAGGCCCCTGACCGGCTTCTGACCTGCCTGGACCCTGCTCGGATTCCTTGCCTGCCTGAAAGCACAGCAGGTCAGGCAGGACTTTAGATAAGAAAAGGAGTGGGTCTGTCAATTGAGCCCCTGGAGGTCTGGCCAATCACCCTGGGGTCTAACAAAATCCTATGACTCAGAAGGTGAAACAAACAGCATTGTAAAAAAGGTTAAAGTAAAACCAGAGTTGCATTTTTCCACCCAAATGGATGATGCTATCAGTTTGCAGCCTGGGATTATAAGGGAGAACCCCTGAAACTGCAGTTTGAAGTCTCTCCCAGGGGGTGGATGCACCACCTTTTTCCAACTGTGACTCCAGATTGCTATTAATGAGGGACTTGCCAGCACTAAGTCTGGAAGTTGGTTGGCCCAATTTGGTGATGAACATGCTGTTATTCTATTGTTTCTATTTCTTTTAATGACTGGATGCTGAAATTAAGTCAAATAGTCTTTTATAAAATATTGATATTACTTATTGTGTGTGGCAAGTAGTTTCTTTTGTTAATGAATACTTTGAACCTAAAACGATAGTAACACTTTTGGCTAAACAGAGTCATGACCTCGGGCCATGAGCTTTCCTTCTGGTCTTGAGCTCCATGAGGAAGCTATTACTTTCTGTATCATGACATTCTGTAATCTTGTGATCTGGTGGCAAAGGCCAAGGTTAGGATGAAGACTTAGTCCAGCTGGGGATGAGAATGGACGGCGTCCTCCTGAGTCCTCCAACATCCTCCACCTCCTTGAGGGAGGTGACTTGTTTGGAGGCAAGATACATCCTACTCACATGTGATGGGGTGGGGGGAGGGTTGGCGGTGGCTTTGAAGGGCTGAGGAATCAGGTCCACGTTGGAAAACTGCCTAGTGGGTACAAAACCAACCTGCTGTCATGCCCATGTTTACCCAGCTCTCCAGGGCTGCTCTAGGAGCCTGGTCCTGCTGAATGGGGATGAGAGGGAATGAGGGGGCATAGCCAATCCAGAGACCTCATGCTCTATTCCCCTTAACAAAACCTGTTCCTAGGAAAGAACCAGGGAAACGCCCTCACACTCGGGTAACAGATCGTAACAGCTCAAAGCACCCTGTCTTTTTAAACTTTATGCAGGAGTTTTTTTAAATTTCCTCCCCCTCCCCATCCCCCCGGCAAATTTGTATTTTTCAATTGATGAAAGCAACTTATGCAACACAAGTTGCGCTGGGGCAAACCCCGGCGGCAGGTTTCTGCGCAAAGTGCTAAAAAGGCTTAAACAGAGGGTATTGCCAAAAGTGGCATTTCGGGCATCAGAAAGGCAATCATACCTTTCTGAAAGGTGGCAGACCTTTAAGTACATCTACACCATCTACACTGAACAGAATATGGAGAACGTCTTCACTTCCGGCTCCACTACATAACAAATACGTGTACAAAGCTCGGCAAGGGCTGGCATTGACTCCTCTCCGTTTCTCCAACTCCAGCAATTGGGGCTTGTATCCCAAGTCCCTCTACTTGACGTGAGGTTGGACCAGCCACCTCCCATTTCGGGGCCTGTTTCCCCATCTGTAAAACAAGGATTATATGCTTCTCTCTTCCCAGGACACGTCAGACCTAATCGGGAAGGATCTGACTGGGTTCGATGAAAAGCGTAAAGTAACGCTTAAAAGGCAGGCGAAAAGACCGATAACATTTATTTCTCTCTCACCAACCAAACACTCCGTTTCACGTTTTTCTCAGCTGTTCCGGGAAGGGCGTGGCCAGGCCACCAGGAGCCACGCCTCCGGAAGTGGGGCCACACTCAGCCGCGCCCCGGCTTGCGGCCCAGGGAAGGGACCAGCAGTGACGTCACATAGCCACTCCTCTGTGTTCCTCCGCCCTGAGATAAAGTAGCCCCTAACCATAGCGGATTCTGCCACTGATACTAAGTGACATATAAAATCTCAGATTATCTTACGACTCTATTTTGATTTTCAGGCCTCAGGGCCACCTTCCAGCATATTGGAAGCCTGTCTTTCTCCGGACCGGCGTAAGAAGTAGTCCCGGCGACCGTGAGGCCGATGGGTCCCTCCGCCGCGGGGGGAAAGAGGATGGCGACCTCGTCGATGCCGGAGTCGGAGAGGAACACCGCTACGAAAGCGTCAGGTGAGCTTCGGGGAGAGTCAGGTCACCAGACCGCACCCTGCCAGGAAGTAGGGCCACACTGCGGGGAGACCCGGCGGAGAGGTCCCGGGCTGGCGGGGCTGTCCGAACAGGGCCCCGGGGTCCCAGGCCCTTTAGTCGCTCTCGCACTTGCCTGAGCGGAAACCCGGCGCCGCCACAAGATGGCGTCGGGCCTGGAGCGCAGGCAGCGCCGGGGACAGCCCCGAGTCGCCAGGCCCCGGGACCGTCTCTGTCAGCCCCCTCCGCACGGGCGCCAGGGGAGGGGGGAGCAAGCCGCTGACCCAGGGGGCCTGCGGGCGGTACCACCGACCCTCCACCCGGGGGGACTCGGGGGGCCCGAGGGCTGAACCACTGAGGCCACACGGGGCCCATAGAGGGAACCACTCTGCGGGAATCATGGAGGGGAGGAGAGAAGGGTCAAGATTCCCCGCCACTGACCACCCTCCCGAGGATGAGGGAAGGGCCGAAGACTGGGAGGCAAGGCTTCCTGGTCCTGTTTTCCCGAAGCAACCCCTCGCCGTACCATAGAAAGCCCCTCCCCGTCGGCGACTTAGTGTTTGCCTCTGCGAAATGGGCACATGGGCGCAGCTGAGTGGGCTGCGGGGACCGGGAATGAGGCCCACCGGTTCCATCCCCAGTCACATCCTCTCACAGAGTGAAGGCCCCGGACCTTGGGCCCCCCTGTCAGGCAGCCCCCCGAGCCGATGGAGGAAAACGAGGTGGAGAGCAGTAGCGACGCGGCCCCTAGGCCTGGCCGGCCCGAGGAGCCCGAGGAGAGCGGGTTGGGTGTGGGCACCTCGGAAGCCGTGTCGGCCGACAGCAGCGACGCCGCGGCCGCCCCGGGGCCAGCGGAGGCCGACGATTCCGGCGTGGGGCAGAGCTCGGACCGCGGCAGCAGCTCGCTGGTATGGACCGCGCTTGGGTGGAGGCCGCGACCGCAGGCAGCAGTGCTTGGCAGTCAGGGGGGGTAGCAGCCAGCAGGCTTGCTTGTAACTAATAATTGGTTTATGGTTTACTGTGACCCAGGCCCCATGCCAGGTCCCTAGCATGGGTTTTCTCATTTAAACCTCGTACCTTGTAAGGCACATACCACTCTTTCCACATCTTACAGAGAAGCAAACGGGCACAGAGTCAGGATTCAGATCTAGGCTGTGGGCTGCGCTCTCCACTGTTGCCCTGGTTCACATCTTGGCTCTTCTGCTGATTCACTGGGAGATCTCGTGGAGCCTCAGTCTTCTGTCTGTAAAATGGAGCAGAAATACCTACCCCTGAGGGTGCTGTGTTGTGAGCTGCTACCAGATGTTTTCTTGGAAACGCTTTATAAAATAGTCTCATGGCTCTGCCACCTCCTAGCTCTGTGGTCTTAGATAAGCTCCCCAGGCTTTAGCTGTCAGTTTTCTCATGTGTAAAGTGGGAATAATAAATGTCTGTGCCAGTAAGGTTTTTTTTTTTTTTTTAGGGTTAAATGAATATGTGCAAAGCAATTAACACGGGGCTCAACACGTGGTAAACAGTCAGTATATATCCAGACCCTCAGCATTGTCATTATTTGCTAGATAGTGATCGTTTTCAGGACATCACATCATAGAGGTACACAATAACAGCCTCCACTTTGCGGGTCCAGGGGTTTCATTGGTTCAGCAGAGATGGACTTAGCATGTGCCCAGCTAGTGCTCAACCCTGGAGTTACAGCAAGAGACAAGAGAGGTGTGGTTCTGGCCCTAATGGAATCTGACTTGGGAGCCATAATACTGCAGAGTGAACCATCAAGTGATGGGGGGGGGGTGGGGTGACACAGGCAACTAAAATGCTGAGGATAGAGAGGTCCTAACTTGGCCTTGGGGGTCAGGGTCAGCTTCCCAGGAGAGGTACCAGCTGCGTGTCTGAGTAGGAATTAGCCATGGTGTGATGCTACGAAGCGTTTCAGGCAGAGGGAACAGCTTATTTGACAGCATGGTGAAACCAGCTTCACCTGACTATTGTGTGGGGGCAGATGTGGGGCCTTATACCTGATCAGACCCAGGGACCCTGGGGCTTGTTTTTGGGGAGGCTCCGTGACTAGAGGGTTTCTCCCACTGGTCTTCTGTGTGGATGAGGGCGTTGGGTGGCTCCACTCACCATGTCCTTGGGCCCCTAAGGAGCCCCATCCCTATCTCCTAAGCTTCGTCTCTCCCTGTTTCCTGACCCCCAGGAGGAGGTATCTGAGAGCAGCTCCAGCACAGACCCGCTGCCCCATGGCTACCTCCCTGACTCATCTTCTGTTTCCCGTGGGCCAGTGGCAGGGGTGACGGGCGGCCCCCCAGCCCTGGTGCACTCCAGTGCACTGCCAGACCCCAACATGCTGGTGTCCGACTGCACGGCTTCTTCCTCGGACCTGGGCTCGGCCATTGACAAGATCATCGAGTCCACCATTGGGCCCGACCTCATCCGGAGTGAGTCAGACCATGGTGGGCAAGAGTTGCCCCTCAAGGGTTTCCCTACAGAACCAGCTGTGCAGACTCAGGCAGATAACCTTATCACTCTGAGTTTGTAATGTGAAAGCAGTAACCCCATCTCATAGTGCTAAATGACATGAGGAGTTACCTGACTTTGGGGCTTTCCTGGTGGCTTAGATGGTAGAGAGTCCTCCTGCAGTGCAGGAGACCCAGGTTTGATCCCTAGGTCAGGAATATCCTGTGGAGAAGGACATAGCTACCCACTCCAGTATTCTTGCCTGGAGAATCCCATGGACAGGGGAGCCTGGTGGGCTATAGTCCATGGGGTCGCAAAGGGTCAGACACAACTGAATGATTAAGCACAGGATACCTGACTTTGCACTGGAGTCTGTTCTAAACACTACCTGCAGTAGTAGGTCATTGATCATCTTGGTAACCCTAAAAGTACATGCTATTATTGTTCTCACAGTCTAGATGAGGAAGCCGGGGCACAGAGGATGTAAACCAGCATAGCCGCTGTCATCAGCAAGTGTTGGGCCATAAGCTCAGTCTGACTCCAGAGTTGGTGCTCATGATTTGCCAGACTACTTTCTACTATCAGTGACCTGTGTAAGGGTCGTAGCACCTGGAAAGGCCCTGGGATGGTCTCGAAAGCCAGTCCTAAGAAAGTGGTGCAGCATCTGGGCCTTAACCTTGGAGAAGGTTGGAGAGGAAACGAGGGAGACCTTCCAGGTGTAGTGGTTAAAGGCGGACAGCTGTGGACTGGCTGCGGGGCCAGCATGTCACACATCCCAGACCTCCCAACAGCCCTGCCCTGGATGGGAGGTGGGTCACGGGGCAGCCGATTTCACAGCCGCATGGGTGAATCGGACTGAGTGTTGGCCTGATGGTTGTCCTTATCAGCTGGGCATCCCCTCCTCCTGTCTCTGCCTAGGCTGCATCACCGTGACCAGTGCGGAGGGCAGCGGGGCTGAGGCCACACGGTACCTGATCCTACAGGGACCAGACGATGGTAAGGGCCCAGCACCAGGCCCAAGGAGCCCTGCCATGTGTGGGGGCAGGACAGGCAGGCTCTGCCGCAGACTCACTGTGTGATCTTGGCAGGTTATCCGCTGCCCCTGGCCTCTCAGTTTCCCCACGGTTACTATGGTGGGGCATGTGTTCTAGGACCCCTGGGCTTGCCTGGGAGGGGCAGCAGTAGCTCATGGCCAGCCTCCCTCTCCACTTCCCTCTGATTCCCTCACCACCCGCACCTCTCCAGGTGCCCCCATGGCATCACCGATGTCCAGTTCCACCCTGGCCCATAGCCTGGCAGCCATCGAGGCCCTGGCTGATGGCCCCACATCCACATCCACATGCCTGGAACCACCGGAGGAAGCGCAGGGTGGGCCCAGCTCCCCGGCGCAGCCGCCCCTGGGTTCTGGCACCGAGGAGCCGGACTTACAGAGCCTGGAGGCCATGATGGAGGTGGTGGTGGTGCAGCAATTCAAGTGCAAGATGTGCCAGTACCGGAGCAGCACCAAGGCCACGCTGCTGCGCCACATGCGGGAGCGGCACTTCCGCCCAGGTGCGTTGATAGCGGCTGGCCTGCCCGCCTGCACACAGGGGGTGCCAAGAGTCAGACTTGACATGCTCGTTGTACCCTGCTCCCCCACCCCCAGCAGCAGCAGCTGGTAAGAAGGGGCGTCCGCGCAAGTGGGGCAGCTTGGCCCAGCCCCAGGAGGAAGAGGGCCCAGAGGAGGAAGACGACGATGACATCATAGATGCTGGTGCCATTGATGACCTGGAGGGTAGGCTCCCAGACCTGCTGCCCGCCCACATCTGCATATACTGAGCTCCCTCTGGCCCATGTGAAGGGCCAGGAAAGAGGAATTGGCACAGGAGCAGCCAGGAGCGCCTCCAGCATAAGATAAGAGGAGTTGGGGCTTTGGGACCAGGAGCTTCATGTGCAGTCGTCCAGACTGTGCACCGAAAACCAGCACTGTGTCAAAGGGTCATGTCCGTTTGTCCAGCAGAAACAGAATGCAAGCCTTGTGTGTACTTTTTAGTAGCTGTATTAAAAGTAAAAGGATGAATTTAAAGTCAATTATATATTTTATTTACCTATTATGTCTAAAATCTAACTTCAGTATGCAATCATTATAAAAAATTATTAACAAATTATTTTTACTTTTTTTCAGTCTAATTTTTGGAAATCTGAAGTGTATTTTATACTTAATTATGCCTCAGTTTAGACCAGGTACATTTTGAATGCTCAAGAGTCACATATGGTGAGCGGCTCCTTTAATGGGTAGCATAGTCATACTTTGTAGACTTGAATGACTAGACACTTTTTTCCTAAACAATGACTATAAAGTGTATTGAGGAAGGGGCACTTTTTTTCTGATTCACATTAAGGTACATATGAGCTAATGGTAGGTGTTAAGAATGGTCCAGAGAAAGGACTGCAGGACCTCAAAGACGAGTACTGGCAGTCAGCAAGGGGAACATCAGGAGGGCTTCCTGGAGGTGTCATCACTGGTGGGTTTGGAAGGAGGAGCAGGCAGGGAAGGGGAAGTGGGCCTCTTTCCAGGGAAGCTGGCAAGGGGTCAGGGCTGAAAGGTCAAGGCTGTGGCCCTCCTCCTCTTGCTATCCCCACAGAAGACAGCGACTATAACCCTGCAGATGACGAGCCCCGGGGCCGGCAGCTGCGGCCCCAGCGCCCCACTCCCAGTACCCTGAGACCCCGCAGGAGACCTGGCCGGCCCCGGAAGCTGCCTCGCCTGGAGACCTTGGATCTCCCAGATGGTGAGAGTGGAGCCCAGGGGTGCGGGTGGGGCTCAGGGGTGGCCTCGTTCCCTGCTTGCTTCCATGGAGCCTGGGGATGGAGCGTGCCATGCAAAAGAGCAAGTCTCAGACCCACCAGGATGACCTGCCGGCCTCCTGGTGATGGGGAAAGCCCTCCCCTACCAAGCTCGAGGGTT